TTTTTCACAACTTACAAAGTACACATGAACACATTAAAAGACAAAATAAGCTGATCTGGATGTTCACATCGTCTTTCCGACTTTGCCTCACTTGGACGTCAGATCAAATTCATTTTACCGTTACAAATTGAAATTGAAGAACACGCCGTGATAGTGCGAGGAATTTCAAGTGAAATTAAGCCAATTAGTAAAACTGTTGCTACAATATCAATATTAAACAACCTAGTGACCCAATGATCGCTTTTCTTGTAGTCTGTAAAAATACTTTATCCTTTTATTTTATTCCCTTATTCCTCGTATTTTCTATTTTTAATTATTTATATATTTTATATTATATTCCTATTTTATTTGTCTATTCTATGTAATAAAATATCTTTCTTAATAGAAAAGATACAGCTAAAACTTAAATATTACACTGTCGTGCGTAGGCTGCTGCAAAAGCAACGATAAAAATTCCCTCTGACGGTTGGAAAGAAAAGAAGTTCGTTAGACAAGCAGAAGCAATTTGGTTGTTTTAAATTTGCTAGAGTAGATCAAACATTTTTCAATTTCATCAACTTATTATTATTATTATTATTATTATTATTATTTTGGGAATCTATCTATATAAATATAATTCTGAAATTACAAAAACTTGTAAAAACAGAGTTGGCTCTATTTTTTAAGTATTTCTATTTTTCTTTTTTTTTTTTTTTTACAAATTTTTTTTTACCAAATTTTTGAGCTTTTTTCTTTTTATTAATTTTTTTTCTTTTATAATTTGATTGGGTAACAGTGCTGATTTCTTTTAGTTTCAGGAATAGTGATTTACCGGTTTGTAATTAAGTACCAACGGTCCAGGACTTGGTATTATTCGGTCCAGGACTTGGTATTATTTTAGTCCGGAAAAATTACTAGGCATATGTAATATTTTATTTACTATTTTTGGAGCATATTTGCATAATTTAGGCAGGTAGAAAATATTTCATGAATATTAGTAGAGAATTTATGTATTAAATGAATATTATTTTTAGTGTGGTACATTAAGAAATAAATGAGGAATTATTTTAGTGGAGTTAATTTAATTAATTGGTGGAGTGAAATCATAAGTAGAAGACAATTATTTGAGGAATATTTAGAGCCATTGGATGAGATTGCTTAGGACTTGATCTTAGCCACACATTTGGCATTAAATTAAGAAGTACAATTTGACTTTTGTCACCTTAAAGCTATCACCACCCAAAGAACACTTTCTCTTTCTTCTCTTCTCCTTCTCCAACGCCAATTTCATCTTCTTCCTCTTCCTTCATTTTTTTTTCATTTTCTTACCTCCAAATTACCACCAAGCAACCTAATTAAACCATGGATTAGTACTTAATTCTTAAGAATTAAGTAGTAGAAGTTGAGATTGGTGATTAAAAGCAAAGAGAATTGAAGTTACCATTGAAGCAAGTAAGTTGTGGGCTTTATGAAGTTAATAAGTAGAATTCATGGTTTTAGACATGTATTGATTGCATCGTAAATCATGCTCCATCTATTCTTTTGTCAATTTTTGATTTTAATGTTGATTTCTCATACTTTGAAGAGGTTGGAGGACGCATGATATAAAGAGAAAGCCAAGGAGTAAATGCTTTTCCAAGCTTATTCAAGCTGTTACCCTAAGTTTAGTTCCAATTAATATTCTATTTCCCCTTTCACTTTATTACATTGTTTTTTTTTTTTATTTTAGGTTTTTGAATGTATTTTGGAACTTACATGTTTCGCGTTTAAATTGATGAAATGTTAATGTTAGATATGTTCTTGGAATCATTTTTGACCCCTTTAACTTCCCATCTGTTTTTCTGACTGCTTCATAAAAGTTGTAGGCTCTATGTATCAGCCTTTTCAAAAACCAGATCTTATGTTCTAATTCCCAATACTTGTAGTTCAACTTTATGATTTAAATACCAAAACTGGTTACTTATGATTTAAATACCAAAACTGGTTCTGTTATGGTGTCTTACCTATATATCCGAAATGATTGTCCATTTTGACCACTAAAATGGCCAAATAATGTTTTATGTTCTTCATAAAAGTTGTAGCTCTACCTCTTAGCTTTCTAAATTATCCTCCTGTGTCCAATTTGAATACCTATAGCTCAATTTATGATTTTATTACTACAACTGATTCTGTCATGGTAGCCCACCAGTATTTCCGAAAGTTTGCTTATCTTTGACCCCTAAAATGACAAGACTAGGTTTTAAGTCCTTCATGAAATTTATTTCCAAATATCTTAACCAATCATTGGATTTGGATTTATCAAAATTGAGTGCTCAGATAAGTAGGGATGAAATAAACATGGAGTTGAATGTGTTGAATCAGGACTGGGCTGTTGGTCTGTGTTTTAAGCTTATTTCAGTATCTTAGAAGTTGATCTAGATTGTGATCTCTTCATGACATTTGTATAATTTCGTTTTAGCTTTCTAACGAATTAAATTTTACTCACTTTGGCTCACTTTGGAGACCTACAACTTCAGTTATACCCTGAAAACCTAGCAAAGGTCAAGTTTATGAAAATGCCGAAAATTTCTTGATTTATGTACTTTTATACTATATTACGTATATATATTTGAAATATTTCCTTTGAAGAATGTGGTAATTTTTGTAAGTTGTAAGTTGAGAAATTTTGAAATGATGGGTATTAAGTAACGAAGTGTTTTGATTAAGAATTTTGAATAAGTAATAAGTCCTTGTGAAAGAATGATTTTGATGTGGGCTCTACTATGCATGATTGAAATGTGGTATGATGATATTGATTTTATTATGTGAAGCTATGATCATATGTTAGAGTTATCAACCCTTATAAATAGGCGGACGCGCTTATTTTTGTGATGGGGGTGGCGCTTTCATAGGCCACGATTGTGTGATGGGGGTGGCACTACCACAGGTCACGATCAAATCTGCTTATGTTCATTTTGTATTAGTACGGGCCTTAACTAAGAATGAAATTTTATTTTTGCTATAAAAGAATGAAGACATATTTGTATTTATAATCTTCTTCTTACTTTCAAAGTGTTTTAATTAAATTACTGTGATTTCGGTATTTATATAATTGAGTAATTTAAAGCACTTGCGAGACTTGCCTTGGATATTCTTATTATTTTAATTGTTGGTTTTTTTTAGCACCACTGAGTCTTCCACTCATCACGTTGATTTTTATCACGCGCAGGTTAGGAGCGGAGGATGTTTTTCAAGACCAGAGGAGTAGCATCAGAGTAGATATACCATTTTGGGTAGCCATCAGAGCCAGAATTCCACTTTTGGGAGGACATTGCGTGCATGTAATTTTTGCATATATATACAATATTGTTCGATGAGGTTGTATATAATAAGTTTTTATAATTTATTAATAGTTATATTATTTAAGAAAAGACATCTTATTATATTTTGGGGTATGATGATTATATCATTCCTTGAAAAGCAATGTGTTTAGAATATTGTGATTGGAACCTAAGTATATTGATGACTATCTTAAGGAAGTGCTTGTGACCGTGGTCGAGCCCCTGTGTTGAAATTGAGTTTTGGGGTTTGCGAGAAAATTGAAAGTGTGTATATTCTTCGTTTGTGTGGCAAGTTAAGGTTTTTAAGGGAAAATTCTTGCGACAATTTTCGTAGAATTCCCTTAAATATCATTGTTTTTTGTTTTATTTTTTTAAAAAAAAAATGTTAAATTCGCTTGCATCCTTATGAAAATTCTAACCATTCCTAATTTTTGTGAATCTAGCTTTAATAAGGTGACATAAGACGGTGCGCCGGCACTGATTGTCGCATCTGCCGTCTGGTTCTCCAGGATTGGCCGGTGGGTGTTGCAATTGCCCACTAAAAATATTTTTAAAAATTATTGCATTTATTATTATTTTAAAAGAGTTTGTATTATACCGTGCTGCTCTGTTTGAAAATGATTTACCAAATTTAATCATATTTTTTTATGTATCTTTTTATTGAAAGCTTTTGAATTTCTTCCCTTTTTTTTTTATCTCTCTCTAACCATATATCCTCTCTATATATTGTTGTATTTGTTGTCTTTTTGTCATATTGCAGGTAAACTTTTATTTTTATTTTATTTATTTTTTGCTTGTTCTTCTGGTTTCTTCTTGGATTGAGTTTTTATTTTGTTTCTATTTTTCTTGGATTGAGTTTTTAAAATTTTTTTTGCTATTTTGTTGCCTTCATGCTCTTTGATTATAGGTCACCTTGATTATTTTGACTACAGTTTCCAATTGATTATTTTGACTACAGTTTCCAATTATAGGTTGTTTAGACATTAAAAAAATATTGCCAAGTGACTCACTAAAATGCAGATTAAAGATGAGTTTGATTCTCATTAAATACAAAATTTATATATTTTTATCACCTTCCCTGCCTTTTTATTTATCTCTTTAAATAATAACTATGAATTTAGAAAAGAGTTAAGGAGTTAGAAAATATTAGTCTGATGACTTGTGAATTATACATATCAATTAAAATATATATATATATATATATATATATACCACACACACAAATAATAGCTAGCAAGACCCAGCTATTTATCCATTGAAATCATTTCTCTCTATATATATAAATTACAATATATATATATATATACACACACACAAATAATAGTAGCAAGCCCAGCTATTTTATCCATTGGAAATCATTTCTCTCTATATATATAGATATACAAAATTTTGTTGTATTTTATTCACATTGCATTATTGGAATTGTAGAATTTTATTTATATAGAATTATCTAGAATAAGAAATAGTGTTTAAAATTGTTTGTAATATAAATTACAAACCGACAAATTAACCTGCGCAAAGCGTGAGCTTTCATCTAGTTCATTTATAAGATTCAATTGCAATTTTTGGTTGTTTAAATTCAAAGATATATTCATTTGCAGTTCAAAACTAATTTTAATCGGGTCACAGTTTACCTGTGAAATACCGTTAAAGGCTTCTCAATCTCCTATTTGGCAATAATATTTTGGAAAAAATAAGAGGTTGAGAGACAAATTCTATAACATACTTTCTGCATTGCAAATTTCATTGGAATGGAAGACAGTAAAATATACTATGATCCAAACATGACAGAACAACATTCACAATTGACCGACCAATTTTCCGCTAAATACGTTAGCAGCAGTAGTAATAGTAGTACTAGTAGTAGTAAAGCCTTTGCTTTCACTGTCGGGTGTATACTAAAAATCATCAGCTGGTCTTCAAATAAAATGTCAGCTTGTCAGATTATCTTTTTATTGCATGCAACCATTCAGAAAGTTTTATGTAGTCCGACCAGTTCTCCACCGTCGAATTGGCTTAGCCAAATATGTAGATAAAGGAGTTTCAGGAACCGGAAGCAGTTTTCCAACCGCAGCAAGAGGCCAGCTGCATGCATAGAGGCCAGTAAGTATATTACAAATCATTGTTCAAAGAACTACACAGCAAATATTTTGTCCCCAATTTTCAAGCAGCTAACCAGAAATTTGGTTTAAGAAAACATACCAACAAGAACTAAATCAAGAACATTTAATAACCTGATATCAACTCAGGCTCAATCTCAAACTAATTCGAGTGAATTATTATTTAGCCCCTCCATTATAATGAAATACATCAATCAAAACTCAAGTTTCCAAAAATTAGTTTGATAGTCCCTCTATTTTAATTCCATCTAACTATTTAGTCATTCCATCTGATTTCCGTGGAGTAGTATTAAAATGTCAATTTTAGCTTCATACAACTGTAAATTTTCTTCTCTGCCACTTGTTTGAACCCTCTTCATTACCTATGTTTGTTATCCTCCTCTATTTCTATATGAATTCAAATTCAATCTCAATGTGTTAAAATATTTTACGATAATTAAATAGTTAGATGGAATTAAAGTAGAGGGACTACTAAATTAATTTTCAAAACACAAACCCTGAATAGTATATTTCACTATAATTGAGAGCACTAAATTAATTCTCAAAGTGACCTATTAGTAACAATCATATCTTTTGTTTGTTTGTTTTAAGATTTTAACAGTTATATCTAGGTCAAAGAGATAGTTCGAGTCTTTCCAATGACCTAATTTGACAAGACAAATAATCTCACATTAAATTTGACAAGACAAGTAATGTCTCATTAACTTCCAACAACAAACTAACCTGAGAAATCCAATAACCAAGCATGCAAGCCATAACGTCCAGTTAAGTCTCACAGTTGAGGTAAATTTCCCCGCGAACTCTATGAGGATTATCTGTGAAATAATTTTGAGAACCATTATGAATTCTAAGAATTCAGATAATAATAAACACCCAAATAGGAAAAAAGAAGGGTTGCCACCTGCAGGATGAAGGTAAATCCAACTATTCCCATAAACAAGCGGTTTTTGGTGACTCCACTGAAAACATTGATTTCGTCTGGTTTTCGAGCATTGAACTCATTGAATATCTGCAAATCAAATAGTTGGCAAATGCATGCTTCACATTTTGAAACGTGCAAAAGTAAAAGCACATAATAAGCCTAATTTGGCACGTTAGCTGCTTTAGTTTAAGTTTCAATCCCATCAGATGTCACAAAGAGAAGAGAAAATTTTAAAAATTGCATGGAATCCAATTGACTGCATAGGCAAAACTAAAACTAAAGGACCAAATACATAAGTTTACCCATATACTTTATGTGAAAAACCTTGTGGTACCCCAAACTTTGCAGGAGTGCCCCTAAATTACAAACTCTTTTGGTAACATTATACACCATTTTTTTTTTTATCTTTTTGGCTTTATATTCAAAATCTTGATTTGATACGTGGTTCGTTTTGGATACATTCCCATTTTTCAACTATTTAAGTAAGTTTGATTAGATCTAGTTTTATAAAGATAGCGTGTTTAATAGAATAATTTTGCAAGTTAAAGTGTTTAATAGAAGCAATTTCATAAGTTAAAGTGTTTAACAAGTCAAAATAAAATGTTGAGGATTTTGCGAAAATTATAGGTGTGAGTTTATGCATTTGGCTAAAAATAAATCGTTAAACTAACACAATATGTTCAGGACTTTATGACCATAATGAATAAGTATCGTCCAAGAAGTTTGTAGGTTTGGCACTCATTGACTAGAAAAAATATGCACTATCAATGAGTATACTTACTTGACAGAGTACAAATGCATTGAATATCATAGTATTCTTTACGTCAGTAGCATGTTCACTGCTTTCATGATCCTGATGGAGAATACTCTTGCCCCAGAAGTTGAGCACAAGGAGAACACCTACTTGATACAAAGCCTGCAATTAATTATGAGAATTAAGAGTAATCCAGAAAGTATTATCACTCAATCAGCAATCATCTATAAAGACTCCTAATAAAATAACTGGATCAAATGAGAATTACCTGTATGATTAAGTTTCTCCACATGATATTTGTTATAAGAGGTTCCCTGAAATAACAAGCAAATAACCATCCTTTGAGATCATTATACATAAATTCATAATCATTCCATTTGGATTTGTAAAGTCCATTGAAAAGCATGTATATATGACATCTGCAATTATAATATAAATAATAAATCCCAAACCATAACTTCCTTAATGAGAACAAGCTACAAAAGAAAAAGCACACTGAAACAAGGGATTAGGCCAAAACAATGCCATGATTCAGTTTCCCTCTTACTATCCATGAATCAGTAGTTTGGATGTAATAACATTCAACTGGTCACAAAGCATTTATAGAAGAATCTGCTCCATGCATGGTAAACTAAAACTGGCAAAGTTCTAGAATATAGGAGGACCCCAATCTCATAAGCTCTTATGCATGCATTTGGAAGTATCCTATATACTAACAAAGTGTTCGTCCACGATTCGCACAGTTGAAAATCAGAATAAGATCAGCCACCATTCACTTTTCTACTCCATAAAAAATGAACAAAAATCAAACCCAAATCATTTATCCACCTAAGCAAGGCCCACAACCAAGATTATTTATATTCAGTAACATCATGAGAGCCAAAATATCTATCTCAGTAGTATGGAATTTTCTGATCACATGTACAGTTGTATACACAATATTTAGTTAAGCTCTTTAGAACAAACCTGCGACCAACTGGGGATCTGTGCATAAGGTGGTCTGTAGGTGGTTCTGTAGCCAAAGCAAGTGCTCCAAGTGTATCCATGATGAGATTAACCCATAGAAGCTATAGCACAAATTTATGAATTCAAAGTCAGCTCATATCATGAGGGTATTGAGTACTACGTTTTGGTCATTTTTGAAAATCAGGCCTACTATATATACACATCCTGAACCAGGTCATAGTTGTTCACTCCTTATAGGAGTGGAAAAATCAAACAGTTCTTTATAAAATGACAAATAAAAGGAAAGTGTCAAACTAGTTTGCTTTTTCCTGTCTGTTTTCACGCAATTATTAGAAAAGATTGGTATCTTGTAAATCTGGAGCAATTTGTAGAAGAAAACCAAGACTCCAAGATAAGAAAAAATATAATCGACGTAATTTTCTCATATTGTGGACCTTTTTCTCCAAATACATCATTCTGATCCATATTTAAAATTTCAAAAGCTCATAAGCTAAGATTTAAGTTGGCCTTAAAAAAAGCCAAGCAATGCATATTTTAAAAGGAGAAGAATGTCAATGTTAGACAAGCAATCGACTTAAAGATGCAATCAAAAGATAGGCTAGGAACCCCCAAGGGGTGAGATGGGATGGCAGGGATCTCTTCTCCCTTAACTAGAAGTCTCGAGTTTGAGCCCTGGGTATGGAGTTCCCTTAAACACTCAGGAGGGAACGCTTTGCCTCCCTTTGTGGGCCTGCCGGCGCGAATCCGGATTAGTTGGGCCAATGGGCTTCGGACACTGGATGTTTAAAAAAAAAAAAAAAAAAAGAAAGATAGGCTAGGTCTATGAAATATATTAGTAGGCATAGGGATTGGAAAATTAAGCAAAATATGCTCAACAAGCAAATGAGATAGATAGATGGATAGACAGACAGGTATTGAGAGAGCGAAAGAGATACCTGTACAGCATTCAAAGGAACATCTCCAGAAGATACTGCTGCAACAACATTAATTACAAGAGCTGCAACATTAACCGTAAGTTGGAATTGGATAAATTTCTGGATATTGGCATACACAGAACGACCCCATCGTACAACCTAAATCAGAGAAGAAGATTAAATTGTAAATATAATCTGTTTTATTATAATGCAATGCTGAGGAAGGAAAAGAAACTAAGCATTTTGGATATTGGTGGAATATTGTAATTAAGAAGATGCCATACAGTCTGAAAGGTTTATGAGAATAACAAGACTCTGCCACTTCAATGTTTCTCCAATAAGGAAGAAAATTTTAACCAAAGAAATTGGACACTACTTTTGTCTTAAAACATATACTTCCATTCCAAATAAGTACCATAAAAGGGTAAGGGAGCTTTCAAGTGTTCCATTGGTACCAAAAAGTAATAAAGCAACCAATTGAAACTTTTTGCAGATGATGTGAGGCCTAGTTCCACTCTCATACTTCCCTCTTCAACATATATTGCATAAAAAAATTTTTAAAAAAAAATTGCTGATTTTTTTTTTTATTGTATTGTGGATAAGTAATATGAATGCTAATGTTATTCTCTTTCGAAAGGGACAAATAAGGCAAATCACACACATGCGCCCCTCCCCCCTTCCACTAAAGGATGGCTTTACACAATTTTTTTCTGGTAAAGCATAAAGTGGTCACTAACCTTTACAACTGAAGCAAAATTATCATCCAAGATAATGATATCGGAGCTTTCTTTTGCAACTTCAGTCCCTTGAATGCCCATAGAAAGGCCAATATCTGCCTAAAATATAGAAATGCAAAAATACTATCAACTATGCCAAGGAACCACTAAATGAAAGGTGGGAAGTCAAGAAGATAAAAGTTTAGAACAAAATGCCACAACTGAATAATGAGAATATATAACACGGCAAAAGGATTTGATGCCACCTAGAACCACCTTAGTATACTACCAAAAAATTTTTGTTTCCATTCAGGCATATAATAAATGAAATCTGTCGCCATGGAATACCCTTGGTCCTTTAGTATATATTACAGGGATGCTTGATTTATAGCATGCGGACACTTGAACAAAAATCACGGCTGCGTAAGTGTTTAACTTGTCAGACACTTGCATACTGGAGTTTTTTGCTTTTGGACATGCCAGCAAAAGCATATCTCCAGATGACTCATAATTCAACCTTCACAATGTTAATAAGCTGAAAACCCTGTGATTGTTGGATTATACACTCATACTTGCCTATAAAAAGCACACAAATTGAAGTTAATGTGTCTAGGATAATGGAAACCTAATAGTCTGAACCAATGGTCTACTTCCATAGTTTAGAATTGATGAAATCTCCTAACGCTTCTTCAAAAGTATGAAACAAGACGCCTTAGAATTCATATAAATCATATCATAAATCTCAATGTATCCTGCAAATCTTTTAACTTTATTATATATCAAACATCATGTTAGTAACAAAGATGCAGTGATCAAACCTCATGAAGTGCAGGAGCGTCATTTGTGCCATCGCCAGTAACTGCTACAACTTCCCCTCCATTGCGTAAGGCTTGAACAAGCAAAAGCTTATCACTAGGAGAAGACCTCCCCATCACCTATATCATTACTTCTAATTACGCACCATTTTCATGCTTAAATTGGCCAAAACTTATAATTATACTTCTACAAGATAATTATTAGGTGCAAATTCTTTGCTAAGATCTTTAATCAATGGCAAACCCACGTTGAAGAGAAGGTGAGTAATTAATGATTGCCCCCCTTCCCTTGTAAATAAAAAATAAAAAAAAAATTGCAATTCAGGTCCTATATTCGAACCCAGGACCTGCTTTATTTTTCTATCAACCTTAAACATTCTGAACCCTCCCCGAGCTCTGATATTAAAAGTTTTGCACCCCTTAATTTAAATTGTTGGCTTCGCCCCTGCCTTTAATTATGTCATGTGGTCATAACCATTTAATGTTGTTTGATACATACCGTTATTTTCTTGGCAACCACTTCTCTTTCCTTTTCAGAATATGCACGGAACACCCTTCCTTCAATGATATTAGGCTCAGTAGCATCTGCATTTGATCCAAGAATCCCACATTCAAGAGCTATTGCTTTTGCTGTTTGAAGATTGTCTCCAGTAACCATCCGTACCTATAATTTTGCAATTACATCATCCCCAATAAGCCATTTACAAGATTTGTTAATAGAACAATATATTATCACCAAAAAAAATGATATACTACTCGCCTTTCTCATAGATAGGAACTAAAAAATATAAAAGGGCATTATACCTAATGTGAACCACAGTAGTTAGCCACACATTAGGTAAAATCCAAAGATGATTGCAGAAAAGAAGTAACAAGATACCTTAACACCGGCTTCTGTGCATACTCTCACTGCATTGTCTACACCAGGGCGACAAGGATCCTGCATTTAAAATCTTAGAAGCAGCAAAAACACATGGAGAAATGAAATTTACCATGAAGAAGGATTGCTCAAGTTCAATTTACTTATTTAAGAAAAAACAGAGAGAAAGGTAAATCTTAAATATCTTTATACAAAAGGATTGTGATATAACATGTAATTAGTGCAAGGACTATGATCTAATTATTGTACATTATTTTCTATATATATATATATATATATATGCAAGCTCACAGCACTAGAACATTAATGTCGCACTGCATATCTCTTCAGTTAAAAGTAGGTCACATAGTATCACTATATACTGCACAACAAGAACATGTACGTAAGGATGTGAACATGAATAAACATTTAGAGTAAAAAGGTTCTTGTGTAGAAATCATATGGAAATTGCAATATCATTTACAGAGATAATTAATTTAAAAGAATAAAAGAGGATGTATAGCATTCACAAAATAAGAAGAAAAGTATTTAAAAAATTGTAACCTTAATGCCAACAATAGCAAGCAAAACAAGGTCATCCTCCGGTAAAATCCATTTGTCTAAAGCTTCTTCATCAGCCAGAACTTTGTCCGCATCATATGATCTGTATGCAATGGCAACACAACGCAAGCTGCTTGCAGCCATTTCATCAATAGCATCCTTGAAAAATTCCTACAGAACAATATACATTAATATAGATTCTTATCCTAAAGTTTGTGGACAGTGAAGATAGTTTAAGCTACGTTCTAAGCCTTCAAATGGATCAACAATTCAAATGACCTGTTTTTTGACACGCAATGCCTGGTAAGTAGCAAAATTTCACCTTTAAAGACAAGGTTAAGAGATTGGTCAATATTTACAAGATGATAATTGTCATTTTCTGCAGCTTCTATTATGTAAATCTTTAACTTCTAACTCAATTGACAAGGTAATGCAAACTGAAAGGGAGCCTCATGCATTACCTCAAGGTTGAAAAAAACCTTTAAGATTCGAGGAATGATGATACCAGTTCTTGTGAATTATCATGCATCAGTGTACAGAATGATATGCTAATTGATAACCAAAACCGGATAATTGGCTAACTTGGAAATAGAATGATGAAAGCTAAGACTAAAACATAAAAATAAGAACTTGCATGGGCAGTGATTGTACTTTGGATGGATTCATTAAAAAAGCATTAGCAGCATCTATGTTCTAGCCATATCTAATATATCCAGATCTATCTCATTGGCATCCATAATCTTTCAATATTTTGGAGACTTAATAACAAATCATTTTGCAAGTCATGGCAAACTACATAGATGAACTTAAATTGATGCTAACGAACATGGCAAACGAGCATGCCTAAAAGAAGTTCAGACATTTAGTCAAAATGTCAAATGCAAGTTCTGAAAAATTTCATTTAATTCATGCTTTCTATAGAGAATTCTTCAAAACATTATAATGATTTCAGCAAGAGAACACTAATATAGACCTTATCTTCATCCATGGATTGCAGGCAACAATTTGAATCAATATATCCTGTGCATGAAGCGAGAACTATCTCAGCAGCTCCCTTCCAATGTATATGGATTTTAGAGTCACTCTGCAAAAATTAATTTATAAAATTTCATTAGCACAGGAAAGTCTATGACTCATCGAAAAATATGAAAACAGATATATTACACACGTTTTTTAACCCTTGCTTCACAAAATCATGGTTGGAAGACAACCAAACAATTTGGACTCTGCTATGGGAGCCAAAAGTACAATTGGACACCCAGTTGCCCAGTTATGAAGAGAAACTGGGTACTTGCACAGTTCAGAGAACAGCAAAACTGAGCACGCTGCACCTAGTGTACGGAAGTTCCAAAGCATGCTTAGGTAAGTCACATATCATTGAAATAACATAATTCTTGCCCTGTTATGATGATGATGTGTTCCCCAAGTTCTATAACTTCCGGAATGGCGTATCAAATTGAAGTTTCATGAGCCAAAATGTCCATCCTGCAGCTCCAGAATGGCTGCACAGAAGTTTCTAACAGTATTCTTTTTTCCTTAGGCATCCAAAATTCCAGTTGCGTGAGACTTCCATGCATCACGGGATGGAGAGAGGCTCAGATCTATGTAGCCTTTTACATGCTCCACAAAGAGGCTCATTCCATGACTAGAAACTATGACCTGATGGTTCAATGGTTCAATCGTAACATTGCACCAAGGCTGACCTCATAGGCTTCAGAGTTCGGACAACGTTAAATTTTAAAAATAACCTTATAGTTTTTTGTTCTCACATTCAATATCTTGTCTATTCAGATCCAGCATTCAAAATATAAGACACCTAATAACATATATAAGTACACTCATATTCATAAAATAAAACACTTAAGATCTTTGCACCAATGCTTTTGAAATACAAAATGAAAATGAAACTAAAAATGTTAAAAGGACTTAAAACAATATGATCCTAAATCCCTACTAAATAGCAATAATTCCAGCAGTTTCAACTGCTCATCATCAAACGCAACATATCCATCTTTTTCATCATTATTTAAATTCAGATTGTTCATTTCCAATGTCCTCTTATTCATCTTCTTTAAACTCCACTTCAGAAGAGCATCCAGAAGAGGAAAAGGGAAAAAAGAAAACCTGAAAAGGGAGTTAAGGCACCCAGGAAAGAATTAAATGACGGAGAAGAATTAAATGGCTGGAACAAAGGAAAGAAGAATTGACAAAGAGAAGAAGAATAGAGAAAAATGACGGAGAAAGAGAGAGATAGAGCCTGATTGTGTACAGCGAAATTCTAACCAGCAGCAACATGTATTCTTCCCCTTTCTATAGAATGGCTCTGATTTTTCAACTAATGTGGCTTTTATTTTTTGTTTTAATTTGAGTTGGGTGCATTAAAACATTGTAAGTTCACATAAACATGGAGATCTCTAGAAAACAAGGGAAAAAAAAAAAAAAAGAGGAAAATGAGATTTATGGGATTTTATTTTATCAGGGCTTTCTTCAAGTGCCTGTGGCTAACCAATGGTAATTTCAAAAGAATAGTATAAGAAGCATGAAGATTTGATAGAACATCAAAGTTTTTCTACTTATCAGCTTGTTCTTTATCTTTGTTGGAATTGGCAGAGCAGAAAACTAACTCACACAACTCACGCACACAGAAAAAAAGGTTCTATAAAATGAACCTTCAAAGATCTGTGAGCACTCAAGCTAAGACCATACTGCTACCTCCCACTAACTTTACCTGCTAGACAGCAGGGTTACAACTTAAGTGAAAAAATTAACTTCCCTTTCAAAATGCAAACTAACTAAAGTATTTCAACAAAAATCTCACCATTCCAACACTTCTCCTCAAGCTTTTTGTTGTAGTAGTACAAGCTGTTCTTTCATAAAGCATCATTTGAATTCATTTGAATTTTGTTTTCCTTTCTTAAGCACCATTTTTCGAATCTTCTTGGATTTGTTATGCATCTTGGAGGAAGTCTTTTCCCCAAGCCTTCCCAATGATTTTTTTTTTTTTTTGTTGAGCACTTGTCTGTGGGCTTCATTCTTTTTGGACTTCTCACAAAAAAAAAGTCTAAGACTTCTACAGGATATTCACAAGAAGCCTAGTTGTTGTAGCATCTACTACCCTTGTCAAAAATGGCTATTCTTTCCATTGCTACATGTGAGCAACTATAATCTTCACAAAAAAAATTTTCTGCTACCCTTTTCAACAGGACAGCAAATTCTTTTAGCAATTTTTGCATATGCTAGGTCCCTTTTCAACTGCTTTTTGCAATACTTGGACCTGATTTGGTCCCTTCAATAAAGTTCTGTATTCTCACAACTTTCCTAGTTCCTCTTCAACAAGATTTCTGCAGCTTTAAGACATGCCTAGGTCCCTTTTCCACTGGTTTTCTGTAGCTTTTTAACGTGCTTTGGTCGCTTAAATAAAGTTTTGCAGTTTTAGGACTTGCCTAGGTTGTCTTCAACAAGATTTCTGAAGTTTTAGCACATGCCTGGGTCCTTTTCATATTATGGCTATGCTAGTCTTCTTCAGACATTTAGTTTCAACTTTCAAATACCAAAAAACAAAATTTTCACCCTTGAAAATGTTTGGAATTTGCAAAGTGACAGAAATTTGATGAAGAAATGCTTCATCTAGAATACAGGTCCAGAAAGTTTAACCATTCATTGGGTAAGAAAGGAAGAGAGCCACGATAAAGCAAGAACTAAAAACAGCAAGAAGGGGCTAAAATCTACAGAAGTTCTTTTGTCTTCTCTTTTTGATTTTCAAGAACTTCTTTTTCTCTCAACAATACTCCTTTTGCTTTTACCTATAAACCCTTAAAGACCATCTAAAGCTCTGTCAAAACTTACAAATACATATAAAAGCCCCTTAAGATTACCATGTTGACAAATTATAGGGCAGAGATAATACTAACTCACACAACGTAAACACACAGAAACAAACTCTATATAAAGAACCTAAAAAGAGCTGTGAACACTCAAGTTAAGTTCATACCGCTAACTAACACCACTAAAAGACAAAGCTAACTTTCCCTCCAAAATTCAAACTAATTAAGAATATTTCAACAAGAATCTCATCATTCCAACAATCTTCCATCTTCTTCTCTCTTCTTTGGTATCTTTCTTCTAAATCTCACATCCCTCTATCTTCTTCTTAATTCTATTATCTTTTTTCTTCTCCACAAGTGATTCTGCATCATTAAGAAGAATCATCTCACTTTAACACGCTTACAAAAACACAGCCCGATTATATCAAGGTTGCGCTTGACAAACTTGCTGTATTTCAATGGAATTTTGATAGAAATTTGCTTCTCTATTCCCCCAAGCTGATTGGGTTTAAATAGACTTAAGTATCCACAAACATGGAATAAATTCCTAAATTACAGTCCTAATTGATGCCCATTGTCTCCTAATTATAGCCTTAATGCTCCATAAGTGATGCTAATTTTGTCTCTAAGTGATGCCTCATGGTCTCTAATTTGGTTGAATTTACAGCCTTAATTCGCTCTACTGATGCTCAATTTGTTCTATTAGTTATTACAGCTATCTTACAACAGTATCAATTATATTACAATAGTATTAATCCCCTCAAATTGATGCTGGGGATCAAGAAGCAAATTGCCAAAACGAGAAATGCTGAGATGTCCTGTCATAGATTTTGTGAAAATCAGAATCTTTGAATAGCAAGTGGAGACCATGTGGGGAAAAAATGACACCTGTATCTACGGCCTCAGAATAGAATGACAGTCGCTTCGATATGTTTGGTAACGTTCATCGAAACTGGAATTTTTGAGCATTTTGTATGGCACTTAAGTGTATGTCCAGCAGAGGAGTAGAATGAGGCTAAGGAAATCCAATTTCAGCAAGTAAAGCACGTAACCAAACAATATCTGAGCAAGAGCACACAGACTCAGTAGAAGATTTTGAAACACGGTTTTGTTTCTTACTTTTCCAAGATATCAAAGAATCGCCAAGAAACATACACCAACCAGTTATAGAGCGTCGAGTGTCTGGACAATCGGCCCAATCAGCATCACTGTAAGCAACAAGGCATACGAGAGAGCCAGCAGGAAAGAATAAACCCCGAGAAGATGTGCCAAGAAGATAGCGAATGATTCGACAAACTGCCACCAGATGTAAGTGACGCGGAGTACTCATGAATTGGCCGACTTGCTAAACTGCAAAAGAAATATCGGGCCTTGTAATAGTCAGATAATTCAAACTGCCAACTAATTGTCGATAAAGATATGGATCAGGAAGAAGATCTCCGTTTTGACTAAGATAGTTGACGTTTAATTCCAAAGGAGTATCAACAGGGGATGAATAAATATCCCAAAATAATCATAGTGAACTTCCAGCCCTAAGAAATATGTAAGTGGACCAAGATCCTTCATATTAAAAGAAGTCTGAAGAGATTGTTGAAGATTGAGGATCGTTGATGTGTTAGTGCCAGTTATAATAATGTCATCTACATAAACAAGCAGTAGAACAAAACCAGCAGAACTCTTGTGAAGAAATAAAGAGGAGTCATATTTACTTTGCACAAATGAAAACTGAAGTAAGGTAGACCGAAACTTGTCAAACCAGGCTTGTTTTAGTCCATACAAAGACTTTACTCACCCCAAGGTGAAGATGAGGAAGTAAACCCATGTGGAAGTGGTCATAATAAAATTTTCATAAAATCACATGAACAAAGCATTTTTGACAATCCATTCTGAGAAGCAGCAACTGCAATAATAGTACGAACGGTAGTCATCTTTGCAATTGGAGCAAAGGTCTCCTCATACTCCACTCCGTACTTTTGCTTATTGCCAAGAGCAACCAATCGAGCTTTATATCAATCCAAAGTTCCATCAGAACGAAGCTTGACTGAATAAACCCATTTACAGCCAATGGGCTTAACATTTGGAGGGCAAGGAAGAATTTTCCATGTATAATTGTCGTGGAGAGCTTGAAGTTCGTCCTGCATGGCTTTTTGCCAACATTCATTCTTGGAGGCTTGTGAGTAACAAGATGGAATAGAAATATTAGATAAAGTGGCAGAATATCCAGCAGGATTATCAAAAAACATAACCGTCCTTGGAGGTCGAGATATCTGATAGACTCGACGCAGAGTAGGATTTTTGGAGAATAACATAGATGAGGGGATCAGTCTCGGAAGAGGCATTCGTTGGTTGAGTCTTCATACACAATAGGCTTAAAATCGATTAGGAACAATTGTAATTCAAATGGAGAATGGGAGAAGTAGAAGAAAGATTAGGAAAGAAATATTGATGCTCAAAGAAAATAACATTTCGAGAGACACGAAATTTTTTAGAAATGGAATCATTACAAACAAAACCCTTTTTAGAAGAATTATAACCCATAAACGCACATTTAATAGATTGAGCTGAAAGTTTATGACATTCATGAGAAGGTAGATGGAAAAAACAAACACAACCAACTGTGTGTAAATCATGATAATTAGGATATTGTTGATACAGACGAAAATATGGGGAGTCAAGACTTAATACCTGAGAAGGCATTCTATTAATTAGATAAGTTGCACTAGATAAGGCTTCAACCCAAAACTTAGATGGAACTTGATGCGTCTCACATCGCCCGTGGAGTACATCCTGGGCTAGTGTATAAGGCTGGGTTCAGTCCTGGGTTAAGTCTTCCTATGAGCTAGCTTGGGCGCGAAATTGGGGTCCAGATCTTATCATTTTTGGTATGAGAAGCTCTGGCTTCGTAGGGTCCGTGTCTCATGGGGATTTGTCAGACGCCAACTGGCGTGGGCTTTATGGGGTGGGGATGAATGCGTCCCACATCGCCGCAGAGTAAATCTGGACAGTGTATAAGGCTGGATTCATCCTTCCACTACGAGCTAGCTTTTTGGGGCGAAGTTAGGAGCTAGAGCTTTATCGAACTGAAAATCATAACAAAGTTGGGTTAACATTCCAAAAAGATACGATTTTATACGCTCAGTCATCATTTGTGTATAAGGACATGAACATTGTGAGACAATCCCTTTCTTACGAGGAAAATTCTGAAATTCATGAGACATATATTCTCCTCCAGAATCAGATCGTAATACTTTAATACAAGTAGAAAACTGAGTCTCAACATAGGCCAAAAAGGTCTTGCAAACAAAATATACATCAGATTTAGAATGAAGAAAGTATACCAATGTATATCTACTATAATCATCAATAAATGTCATAAAGTATTTGCATTGAGCATGAGAAATAACGGGCGTAATGCCCCAGACATCACTATGGGAAAAGGAAGAGTTTTGCTTTTACCGAGTCTACATGTGGAACAATCAAAAGGAACCTTAGCAAGGAGTTCTTTATTGCCCAAGAAACCAAAATTTGATAAATGAGACAAAATAACAGGATTAGGATGACCTAAATGCCTATGCCATAGTTCACTTTTACTAATAACTGTAGTACAAAATGAAGAGATACGAGGAACGGAAAATAGTAGTGGAAACAGTCTCCCAACTTTAGGCCCCTTCGCGATTACTGACCCCAATGCTTGATCCTGCACAAGACAACCATTACGAGAGAAATGCACATCATAATTCTTATCTACTAACTGACCAACCGAAAGAAGCTTAGTTGAGAGCATTGGAGATATAAAAACATTGTTGAAACATAGTCTAAGATCTCCAATCTCAGTAATAGGTATTGTACTACGATTTGCAATCTGAATTTCAGTTGAACCATGATATTTGCGAACATTGGTAAGCATGCTAGATGTGTTTGTCATATGATTTGAGACAGCAGAATCAACAAGCCAAAGTTGAGAGGAGGAGGTATCTTTACCTTGTAGTCCTAAGGCGGAGAAAGCTAAAATAATCATTTGTTGCACCATTTCTGGAGTAAGAATCACAGGTTCAGTAGCTGAAGAGGGAGTTGTAGAAACTGTTGGAGCAGCAAAATGAATGAGATTATTTGGTGCAATTGGGATAACATTCGATTTTCGATTTTGAGGCCGTGTCGGACACTCCTTTATGACATGTCCTTACTGTTTGCAATAATTACAAAACTTCTTTCCACAATTGGCAACAATGTGGCCATAATTTTTGCAATTATAACATTGAATTCTACTCATGTCCCGACCCTTTCCTCTTCCTTGGGCAGCAAAAGCAACCTTGACAGTATTTTTTTGTTGGAGAGAGTTCTAAATGAGAAAACGTTGTTCTTCGTGAAGTAATTCGCCAAAACAAATATCTAAAGAAGGTGAAGGAATACGAATCATTAAATTTGAGCGAAGTCTCAAATTCAGACCTCAACTTCATTAAGAATTGATCTCTTTTGCTTTGCTCATGAATTTCTTAAAGTACAGAGAGAGATTCTGCATGCACTTTAGCATAAATAGTGTCAGTAAACTCAGCCCATAAATTCTGAAAACCAAAATAATATTCCTGAATGGAGAGATTTCCTTGGGAATAATTAGCAATATTCCATTGAAACGTCTTGCAGCATTGTTTGGAATTATAACCTTTTCAGTAACCCCATGGCTTTTGCCAGTTTTAAGACATCAATTAGGAGCAATAAATCTTGCATCTCTAACTTTCCAATGAAGCAACTCCTTAGCATCTTTAGGAGCTGGATCACTTCCATCAATATGGCCCAACAGTTCTTTTCCTGTAACAAAGTGTTTGAACTGAAATTCCCATGAAGAGTAATTTTTTTCCGATGAAACGAACATGAAAACTCTCAACTGCGTTTGAAGTGAGCATCTCAAATAGCACAAGGAGACTAGAAATGCAAAATTAGCAATAACAAAACCAGGAGCAGGTCTACTAGAAGGAGCAACAGACCCTCCAAGATGAAAATCCTACAGCCAGAAAGTTGCAGGATAGAAAAATGTCCACCAGAATCTCTTCTAAATGAAAAGAATTTCCAAATAGAAATTCAGAATTTCTATGACCGAGAGTTTATCAAAGATATGAACTAAACAAAGAAAGCAGAAACAGAAACTGCAGAATTAGAGACAGCAGAACATGCACTTTGTTCTTAAAAAAACAAAGCTGAAACTCATAAAAGAACAGCCCTAAAATTGCCTAATTAGGCTCTGATACCATGACAAACTTGCTGTATTTCAATGGAATTTTGATATTGCTTGTCTATTTCCCCAAGCTGATTGGGTTTAAATAGACTAAAGTATCCACAAATTTGGAATAAATTCCTAAATTACAGCCCTAATTGATGCCCATTGTCTCCTAATTATGGGGCATAATTACAGCTTAAATTGGCTCCATAATTGAATGCCGTAATGGGCCCTAAATTATGGGTCTGAATTACAGCCTTAATTACTCCCTAAATTGATTGCCTAATTTGTCTCCAAGTGATGGCTTCTTTACAGCATCTTACAACAGCTATTTAATTAGCTCCCTAATTGATGCCTAATTTGTCTCCTAATTGATGGTTATTTACAGCTATCTTACAACAGTATAGTCAATTAATTACAATAGTATACTAACAGCGCTTATATTAAGAAACAAATAATGAGGTCGCCTTAATCATTATTCATCATGTAAGCAAAAAATTTGGCTGGCTTCATTCTTCTGGATATAATGAAAATTATGTTTAGTTGAAAAAGGATGCATCTACTTTTACCGCACAATGTTGTATGCCATCCCCAGAAAACTAAATGGTTTTACCAATTCGAAAACAATTTTTCTACCCATGCATGAAAGATGTGATTCGGTAATTGAGACGTTTGACAAGAGAATTCCATAATATAGCATGATGGTGTCCAATGTAAGTTTCCATTTAAAAGTCAAATGAAAAGTGAGAATTAATAGTTACCCTCTGAACAGCAACACCACCTCGCTTTTTCTCTGAGTTGAAAGGAAAGACTTGGAGAACTTTTGATTGTGATCTAATGACATCAAACTTCATCCCTAACTGAAAAGGGAAAAGAGCAAGAGAAAAAAGAAATATTTACCGACTGTTATTAACTTCACAAAGAAACACATACTTAATGTAGACACCAGAACATGACTAGAGATTATGCCTTGACAGCCCAAGAAAGGATAGCCTTTTCAGTAGGAGATCCAGAAACCTCAACATCTCCACCATCCTGTCAAAAAGAATGCAGTCAATGACAGATTTCCCTATGTCAGATGATGGAACATCAAGTTAACTGAACAATGGAGGTAAAGTAGAATACACGTGGATCCAACATAGTGTCCTTTTTCACGTTTTAGTAAGGGAATAAGGATTAAAGAAAAATAAAATGACAACTAAAAACAGAAACAAAAAGCTGACTAGTAAACTATAACATAGAACAAAAATATCAAAAGATGCCGTTTACTCACTAGCCAAATTTCACTCATAACAACAGTCTTGCATTAGAGAGTCCACCTTTTTTTAGTCAATATTAGCAAATGCAGAACAAGTTTGGAAAAAGAATCCAGGAGTATAATGTAATCTTGTCTGGTTAAAAAAGAAAAAGTTTCCTTGGAATAAACATTACTGTGCATCATTGGTCACTGTAAATATATAAGAGTATTAAGGAAAATCAATATAGTACACTTAGGGAAAACACATATATGACACGTATCCTAAAATTAGTTCCTAAGTAAATATTTCTAATTAGTTTAAGATTTGTATCCTAAAAGCTAGGAGTAGCAGTGACGATATATCTTATTAAACCATCGTAATATCGATCGTGCTGAGATACATGAGAAGAACAGTACAATATTATCTACTCTCCAAACAAAGAGACAAGAAATAGAATAAAAGAACAGCCTAATACAATCCTTTGTATTTGCCTTTATTTTGTCTGTCAATTTATTTCTGCAATTAATTATTTGAGTGCACAGTTGGCAAAGTACTAAAACCATGATTCTCCTCGATTAAAATCGCAGCTTCTAGTGCTATCATTAGGAAAATTATGCCTTGTGACAACATGATATCACACACTGATTTAGCTTTAGATCCACTTCTACATAGCTATCAAATTATTCTAAGTATCCATGTATAACAGTAATGAGCGAGACTAGATTCGCGAGTCCCAACCGTAAAAAATAATGAACAAATTTTCACTAAACATATGCCATCAAAGAGGTGAGGGCCACAAAAAGGAGGTACTTTCACGACAGCACCCTCGAGGACACCCCAAACAGCTAAAACATAACAGCTAAAGCAAGCGAATTATTATCTGCCACAAAGATATCAACTAACAATACTCTATTAACTTATCATGCTTATTTGGGTGTGGTTGTATAAATATCATACTAATCACAATCATATCAAACTTCCGGCAATAATCACAAGCTCCAGGTTAAATTTATACATATTAAGGAAAATCAATATAGTACACGTATTCCTAATTAGTTCCTAAGTATATTCCTAATTAGTTTATGATTTGTATTCCTAAATAGCTAGGTAGCGTACGAATTCCTTATATATAAACCTATGTAATCGATTGATGAGATACAAGAAATACAATTACAATATTATCTCTCAACAAAGAGAAAGAAATAGATTAAAATGATACACCTAATACAAGTGCTTTGTATTTGCTTTATTTGTCTGTCATTTTTCTCAATTAATATTTGATTGCACAGTTGGCAAAGTATAAAATCCATGATTCTTCCTCGAGTTAAATGCATGCTTCTGGTGTTATTATTAGGAAAATGTATGGCCTTGTAGACAACATGATTAAAACTTGTTTAGCTTTAGATCCACTTCTACATAGTCATAATTTATCAAGTATCCATGTATAACAGTTAATACACTTAATCTGCGAGTCCAACTAAAAATAATACCAAATTTCACTAAAATTTCCATCAAAGAGGTGAAGGGCCACAAAAGGAGGTAGACTTTCAGCATCACCTCGAGGGAAGCCCACAAAAGCTAGAAACATAAATGCTAAAGCAATTACGATATTTTATTATCTAGCCACAAAGATATCAACTAAAATATCTATATATGTATATATATTTGTGTGTGTGTGTGTATATATATCATATGAAAGAATTCAATAAACTGTGCAATAATCACAAGCCCAAGGTTAAATATAAGATAAGTCCTCCCTTAATATTCTCATGAAAATTAATCAGAATAAAAAGGAAAAAAATAAAAAGGGAAAAGTGAATAACATCTTTACCTTGGGGGCAAAAACATTACCGGTGCTGTTCTGTGCAGCACCCTCACATAACAAAGAGACAACTTCAGAGTGCAACTGTGAGGAATCATCTGGTCCATTCATCTTCATTCTCCCAACATAAGCCTCTACTACAGTCATCTGTGATATATGAAATTGAATCATTGAAACCAAGATACCTGAATATTCTTAACCAATTGGTCAAAGTAATGAAAACAGTATAAAATTTATATTTCGTCTATCATATATGTTGAGAATAGGAGATTGTGGAATCTTTGGTTAATTAAGACATCTAAATCTTTAAAAAAATAACAACAATTAGAAAACATGAAAAACAAGCAAACAAACAAAAAAGAGAAATAATATGTAATAGAATAGGTTGCTCCTCCAAGTACATTTTAATCAAATGTTTTGCCAAACTAATTAGATTAGATAGACAAGAGGAAGTGACACTGGGAGACTCGAGCGAGTCAAACATACTCCTATAAGGACAAATTGCGATCAATAATTAGAAAACACATAAAAGTTATACATATTTATAAAAATGACAATATTAACAATTATTACAAATGAAAGGGTAGAGGTGAATTAGGTAGGAGGTTAGAACCCATAAGGTGAAAATGTATAATGTGGGTTACTTGGGCTTGGGTCAACCAATGCTAAAAGGTTAGTATTAACCAATTAGCTAACTAGCTTGCCACCCTTATATGCCCTTTGTGGATTGGCTATTTAATCGATGTGAAATTCTTAACACTCCCCTTCAAGTGCAACCGGGACCGGACTTCAAGTTGACACTTTGAAACTTGAAATCCTCCCCTTGAAATGGAATTGGGCTTTTCACCCTTGAAATTGAATGGGCCTCATTAGGACGGGACATCTAGACGAGAGCCCGAATTGAAACGCAACGGCAACACCGGGAATAACTGAAACCGGGCCGTACCTGCTCTAATACCATACTACAAATGAAAGGGTAGAGGTGAATTGGGTAGGAGGTTAAAACCCATAGGGTGAAAATGGATAATATGGACTTACTTGGGCTTGGGCCAACCAATGCTAAAAGGTTTGTACTAACCAATTAGCTAGCTTGCTTGCCACCCTTATATGCCCTTTGTGGATTGGCCTTCAGTCGGTGTGGGATTCTTAACAACAATATTCACTAGGTATTTCAAAACCAGCTAAGGTGGTATTTGGTAAAACTGAAAATTAAATGCTGAAAATTTAATAGCAGGCTTCCAATAGCAGAACACACCTGATTCAAGGTCAGTGTTCCAGTCTTATCACTGCAAATTGTTGTAGCCGAGCCCATAGTTTCACATGCTGAAAGCCTACGAACCTGTAAATGTATTGCTGTCAAAAAAAATTTATAATAGAACTCACATTTGAGGATACGAGGTAGAAGCAATTATAGCTAGAACTTTGAGGAAATCAGAGATACTTGCCAAGGCTTTATCTGCCATCATCTTCCGCATTGAGTATGCCAAGCTATAAGCCAATGATGTATAAAACCAAGATTGAGAAGGATACAAGAGAATATGGAACAATTATCTCAGCTTTAGCTGCAATATCATGTTGGTATGAGAGAGAACACTGTTACTTACGTCAAGGTAACAGCCAAAGGAAGTCCTTCTGGCACAGCAACAACAACGATTGTTACCTGAATGGCCCAACAGTTGGTCAAGAAACCACAACACATAAATGAATGTGATAACCAAGGGATTGCACTTACTGCAATGGTAATAATTTTAACAACTCCATCCACGGCCTCGCCAATCTTAGTATGGCCTCGGATAAACTGGACTTCTCCATTTGAGTTTCTTGTATTTCCAGTAAAGTATCTAAAATTTTGGATGTGATTGTAGTTGGTAAGTTGATATGCAAACAATTGAACAAACTGTAACTGTTGGGAGAAATTTATATCACCTGATTAAGAGGACAGCAAGAACGGATACAGCTACTGTTAAACCCACGATGCCTATAAAAGTTGCAACTCCATTCAAGCGTACCTATTTCAAGTCATTAAAAAATTCTCTTAAAGGTAAATCACTTGAATTGCTATTAGGAAATGTTAACGAAAACCAAGACAAAACCTGCAAGGGAGTCTCTTCACCAGTATCCTCTGAGATGCTTGCCATCAATAATCCCCACTCAGTATTGATTCCAACACCAGTTACCTACAAATGGCTAAGAATTGAATCTTCAAGGTGATCAACTACAAAAAGAAATTACCAAGTCTTTTGTAACTAGAATAAGGGAATGCAGCAAGTCTTCAGGTAGTTATCAAAAGAAGGAAGATTTCATTAAATATTCAAAGCAGGAATTGTGAAGATTGTGTGAATAACAGCTTTACCTACTCAAGAACAAATGAAATTTGATATTGTCCAATCAAATACCATCAATTTCCTATCATGGATGCTTCTGGGTGCCTCATTGTCTTGGACGATCTATCCTAAGCATATATCTTTCTTGTAATAGTATACATATACATGTTGAAGCGAAAAGGAAAGCATGAAACATTAAAAGATTTGAGAACTTCATAATTATGTTCCAGATTTCATCTAGGATTTTAGTTCAGATGCTATAATATATTTCCAGTCCTTTAAGAGTTATATTTATTTACATATCTAAAAGAATAAGTTGATAGTCAAGAACTTTAAGTCCAAGGGAAATTTTGTAATTTCCAGCTTCAATGGAAAATCTGTTGCTATAACTTCAAGAGTATTCATATTTACTTTAATCTTTGTTTTAGTCCTGTATAAATAAGTTAATGGTCAAAAAGTTTAAGTCTAAGGGGAAATTTTGTAATTTCCAACTTTCCAAATTCTTCAGGAGTATTTATATTTATTTGTTTTATTCAGAGTCCATTTTCCTTGTTGGTTTGGGAAAATAGTAATCCTTTTCATTTATTGTGGGTGTCCAAATCTATAGATAAACATGCTTGTAATGCTTTGTGATAAAGTTCAGTCAATAAAATTTCAACAGACTATGCTTTTTTTTTTTCTTGAGTTGTATGACGAAATTATAACACATTTAGCATGATTCTTTCTAGATAGCAGCGAGTCCTAGATCCCGTTATTGTGAAGCTAGTAGTTTATGTCATTGTGTTAATGTTTCCTCTATTATTCTAAACAAAACCATGCTATATTAATTTTCAAGCCCTAATTCATGATCACTATGAAAGCCCTAGCCTTAATATCCTGATGAACTTTCCCCAAGCTGACCTAAACAACATGCTATGAAGCGTGAAGAAGCAAGAATGCAAATTTCACTTCATTGGCAGCTCAACTTTCCATGTATCAAAATAAACATTTGTGATAGATCATCAAAACAATCTTATATAATCTAAAAATGAAAAATCACCACCACAAATTGTCAATGATCGGTGAGTAGAGATCAGATGATTAACGAGAAAATACATGATTCAAAACTCTACTAGATATAGGCATCAATCAAGCAATAATTACCAGCATAGTACCAACACCATCTGCAACTTTGCAACCAGACATCAAAAATGGTGCCTTATGATCCTTGTGAACCTACAACAAAGATCAAGCTTAAAAACAAGAGATTTATTCCAGCAGAATACTGCATTACTAGAATGCTGGCTAACTTACAATCTTGCTTTCACCCGTCATGCTAGATTCATCTATAGCAAGAGAATGACCAGTGATTAAGATTCCATCAGCCGGGACCTAATGAAACACCCAGGAGTTACAAGTTGAATGGCAGAAGTATTTAAATGTGGAACAGAAATAAAATAATCTGACATAAACTCACCTGATCACCTATTCTAAGAGGTACCACATCACCAACAACAATATCAAATATTGAAAGTTTCACTGTTCTACCACCTCTCATGACCTGAAAAAATTTTCATGCTATCCTCTTACTTAGAAAGCAAATGTTTAAAAAAAGAAAAATACAAGAATCTAACAACATATATCATGATTATTTTTGCAACATACAGGTACGTACCTCTAACTGTATATTTTGCTTTTCCTCATTTAAATTTTGAAACTGGAGAGATTGACGATAATCACTAAAAGCTAGTAAACAGATAAAAAGAAGAGTTATGAAAAGGTTGACTGATGTAGAAAGAATGTTAGCATAGAAATAGCTTGAAAGAGTCACAAATAAAAGAACTGTAGCCTGGCCGAACCAAATTCACCATCACATTATTAAATTTTTTTTTTTAACTGCTATAATCAGAATATAGAAATAAAGGGAGGAAATTAAAGCTCGAAATTACATATCCTGGCTAGGGTTTTAAATAACAGAAATGGAAACCCATACTGAAGCAGAACAAAACAAGCAGGCTACTACTAACATGAATGTTTTAAAAAAAAGATTAGCAAAATAACTCAAATCAATGTTAAATGGAGAATTTAAGAAACTATCATAATAATCTTGTATATCTAACAATTTACAGTGAAGAAATAGAAATGAATCACAGAAAGTCATTGTATAAAAATGATAATACACAAAAAAAAAAAAATGATATAAAAAGGTAGTAAAAAAGGGACGATAATAAAAAATTACAAGGAACCTTATCTATATGTATAACTAAAAGTAATGATTCAAATTCAGATTTAGAAAGAATGCCAGTATGCATTGCAACTCAAAGAAATCAAACCCCTATCTAGACGTTGGGGCCAAAAACAGATTTAAAAGAACAAGACAAAGCAATAGAACAATGTCGTTAACAAGTGCCACATCTCTTTCATCCTCCTCATTCTTCTTTGGTATTCTTTTAAGGTTTAAAATGAAAAGAGAAAAAGATAGACAAATGGGAATACAGATGGCACCACCCTCTCTCTATCCAAGTACGCACCTTCTCCATCTCTTTCTATCCCCTTCTTCTCCTCCTCCTTCTCCTCTACTCAGCTTCAGTTGTTAGTGCTGACACAAAACTTTAGGCTTTTTGTTTGGTGAAACAGTTGTATAGCCAAATACAAATTAGCAAAGTGGCCGTAAAAGCCTTAATAGCAGCTGATATGGGTTTGATTCCAAGTGATTTGCCAATCACAGGTGGTGTACTGGAAAATGTTAAATCATAAGCATTGGCCAATACTTAACACCCTGGCCAGAAGCCAAGCCAATGAAGGCACTAAAACCGCAATTCAAAGCCCATCAACACTAGCATACCATCATCTCAATACTGATGAAAACAATAAATTATCTTTACTCTCAGATCTAATGAACATTTTGATTAGTATAGGAAAAAAAGCAGCCCAATACTATAGAAAATTATAACAATAGCAGCAACACCAATAAAATTATGTTTAGAAGTCAAGAGATGAAAGCAAGCAATTGCATGGGTCTTTGACAAACCATTCCTGACACGTAATTACAGACATCCAAAATTTGCTCCTTTCCTAGCACATTGCCAAATATAAGGACCTTAATTAGAAAAATAAAGGAAATTGAATTCAATACCGGTTACAATTATAACAAGGATAACAGCAAAAGCAATGCTTGCCCCATCGTACCATCCTTCTTCCACACCCTGTGAAAAGTAGTATCAAGGACAGTATAAAATAACAGTTTAAACAGAAAACAAGGGAGATATGGGTTGGGATAAATATGCTTGCTAAAACAAGTATTACTAATATATAGGTTTACATAGAGAACATGGCAAAAAACAAAAACTCCACAAACAGCAAAACTAAAAAGATGTCCACAAGCAAGAACATCAAATATGATTTGAGAATAAATAAATAAAAACACACACACACACACACATATATATATATATATAGGAGTTTAAAATGCTCATTCTATTGTGAGCAAGCTCAATTTTACACTTTCAATGTTAAGAATATTACTCCCTCAGTTCTCTTACTTTAGAGAAAATTTCCATTTTGAGTGTTTGTTTTATATAGAGAATTTTATTCTAAATGGAAATTTGGGAAGGATGCCAAAAGATAAAGCCTAATATGCCCTTGATTAACCTCTATTACTACCTTTTTTTGGCTCAATTAACGAGCATACTGGCAGACAAAAGTTGGTTGCACAACTAATGATTTTATGTTTCCAAAGCATGAGTAACAGCTTATGAGCGGTTTGGTACAATTGTGCTCGACTTTACGGATCTGAGCACGAATAAAGTACGTATACTAACCAGGTTTCATAATATGGCCACACTTTTTAATTGTTGTACGTTACTTATATAAAATGTTTCTATGTCCATATTATACTTTTAATTTGGACACAAATTTAAATTTCTTCCAACAAACTTAATTGTAATCCTTTGTTGACTCAGTTTGTACTCAGTTTGCAAGAAGAGTGCACTAATTTACGCGTGAAGCACAAATATGACTAGACACGAGTATTTTTCTTGGGAGGTCAGCATAAAATAGTCACAAGTTTATATTGTTATACCCTACTTTTAAAAAACTGCCTTTACATGGATATTAACACTTACTAATATGTGCACAAATTTTGATTTTATGTTCCCGTATCTAGTGATTTTGAGGACAGTTTCCATCTTACTAGTGCCTTATTTTCAAAAACGTGTAAATCTATTCAGATGTTCTAATTTGAAGTTGAGAAGACTCTTGTAATGCTTAAAGATTTTGGCTAATAAATGCACTCTTGGAATACTCTATTAGTGAGTTGGCTTCCTCGCCATTAATTATGTATGTAAAAGGCTGATTAGAGGTATTATAGGCAAAAAATGGGAAAAGTTTTCTGTTTAATTACTTTCTTAATCCCAGAGTTTTTTCTGTTTTCTCTAAATAGAACAGAGGAAGTAGATTAATAATTTCAAACATTTCCTAGAAAGACCTTAAATAAACTAGTAAGCATAAAGTAAGGGGCACATGGAAAATAAAAAGAGTATCACATTTTGAGATGGCTTACTAATATGTTTGACAAAGTGAATTTAGGAAATGCTAAAGGTGTAGAGACCATCTCATCATACGTATTGCAATAAAACTTTAAAGCGCCTTGAAGGTCTTTCAATAGCGAACATGAGGTGGTGCCTATAGGAATTTTCATCCTGCAATTTATGTACTTATCAAAATATCACTAAACTCATACATTAATTTTTCTTGCATACTTCAAAACTTTTAGAATGAAGTACCATTGAATCCCTCTAGTACAACAAAAAAAAAAAATAGTCAGTACCTTATTTTCATAACTAATTAAATAGTTCCCCTGTGTTACTTCATCTAACTGAGTCATCCTTCTATTAGGATTTAGACTATTTTTCCATTAGTCAAATAAAAATTTAATCTGAAAAATCTCAAAAATCAATGGAGGCAACTGCTTATTACAAAATTATTCCTCCATTTTTGGTTCTAATTTATCTTTTCCTCTACTCTTTCTCTTCACTCTAAGAAAGTGCAAGCACGCACTTAGATAATCTCATGTATTAGTTCTTTAGTTTCTTACAAAAGAATGAACTTTCTTCTCTCTAAATGACACTAGAATCTCATTGGGAGCAATTGCACAGCAACAAGAACAAAGCTACAAATAAAGCAAGCAAAAAAAAAAAAAAAAAAAAAAATACCTACGATGATCCGGCTAGAACCTACTTTGGGGTCTTAAATAATTTATTTCCGATGTTGTCTTGGGTCTTCCTCTGGCTGTTTTTGCTCGTCTCAGTCTATTGCTTGTATCTTTCATGTCTCTGTTCAATTTGGTCATTGTGAGCGTTATTCACTGAGTAAGTATCACTAACATACTCATACAATAATATTTATCTTAGCCACTACTTCACAAAACTTTTAGACACATGATAACCTTCCTTCTCCTCGTTTTTCTCGATAGGTTCTAGTACCACCTTGAATCCCTCCTTACAGTACACATAACATAAGAACAACAAATTAATACTTCATTACTCATTTTATCATAAATAATAGTAAATATTTATTCCCCTGCGTCTTACCCTTCAACTCTACAACTGATGTGTCATCCTTCTATTTCGTGGTATTTAGACCCTATTAATTTCCATCTTAATTCTAAATAAAATGTATTAATCTAAAAAGAGTACTCTTCAATATATGTCTAAAAAATAAGAGGCTTAATTTCGTGCTGTATTACTATATATAGTTTCCGGTACCATTTTTTTAGGGTTTTCCCAACGTGTTTTTTACTGTTGATGTTAGCAACCTGAGGTATGTGCGTTCAATGTAATTGTTGATATACTTATTCCTCTAGCCCTTCTCTTCTATCTCTTAAAGAAAGGCAAAAGCACGCACCTAATAGATGAATCTCATGTATTAGTTCTTTAGTTTCTTAGTCAAAGAGAATGACTTATTTCTTCTAAAATCTAAGATTGAACACTTAGCAATTCTACATGGATGCAAAATTGCACAGCAGATCGAAGCCAACAAAAGCCTACAAAGTAAAGCAGCGAAAAAAAAAATAAATAAAAAGAAAAAAGAGAAAAAAAGCATCCCAGCTAATATCTAATGAATCAATTGTGGAGAATGTCGACAACCTTAAATAATTTATTTTGGCTTACTACTCTGCTTAATCATATAAAGATGTGTAACCTTGCAAATCTTGAAAGAAAAATGGGAAAGGTAACGAGAAGAGAAGTGACTCCCTAGGTAAAGGGATTATTGATACTTGATTAGAAATCAAGGAGAGCAGATAAGAGTGTTATAGCAATGGATAGGGATTAAATGGTGTAGTTCAAACCAAAGAAGATGAAGAGGTAATGTATGAAGTTTGAGAATAGAAGGTTAATTTTGCGATGGACCAGAGAATATCTAAGTGGTTTTGTTTGTTAGCCTTAAAAGTTTGATCGCCTCTAAAAAAAAAAAAAAAAAAAAAAAAAAAAAAAAGAAAAAAGCATCCAGCTTTATCTAATGAATCAATTGTGGAGAATCCAACCTTAAATATTTATTTTGCTACTACTCTCTCTATATATAAATGTGTAACCTGCCAAATCTTGAAGAAAAAATGAAGAAGAAAGAGAAGTGACTTAGGTAGGGATTTGATATATAGATCAAGGAGAGCAAGAGAGTTATAGAATGGATAGGGATTTGGTGTAGTTCAAACAAAGAAGAAAGAGTTGTAAAGTTGAGAAAGAAGGTTAATTTCCGATGGAAGAGATTTAGTGGTTTGTTTGTTAGCTTTATGATCGCCTCTTTTTTCAAGTCCAAACATAGGTGAGATAGTAAGAGATGAGAATGATTTTAGTTCTACAACAATTCAATGTTATTGTCATTAAGGAATGACTAAATAGTTAAAATGAAAGGACTAATTAGTTTCTAAAAATACGAGTCCCGACTTGTGTATATTGTTATACTAAAGGGATTAAATAGTAAGTCACCCAAATTTTTATTCTGCATTTCTTTCTAACAATAATGTTATCATCTAGCTAAACTCATGCTACAATCCACAAAGCCATACAAATTAAAAGGAAAATGGATCAACCAAGAACCAATACTATAACCGTAATTACTAACTAGGAACATTTTCTAGCTTAATCAAGTAAAATAAAATGAACTTATTTAAGAAGATTAATTATACCTCCGTCTTAATTCCTAGTGCTAGTGACGCTATGGCAGCTATGATCAAGATGATAAGGGTCAAATCTTGCCAAGCTTCCCAAAGGAACCTCTGAAAAATAAGAAACACAATAAGTGAAAAGCCAAAGATTATTAATGCATCTCAAATATCAATTGAAAACATGTAGAATACCAAGAAACTCCGCCCTTTTTTCCGAGGATATGTATTTACACCAAACGCACTCCTACGCTGTATTAAATCATTCTCATCCCCATTGATTCCACTCTCCAAATTTGTTTTCAACATTTTAGCTAACCCTTTAGCCTGATGAAGTAACCAGCATTTCGTAAATTATGATTAGTAGTAAATTGGTGCCTAACAAGGAAAATCTATATTCATAATAGACTTACACCCCCATACTCTTGTAGAGCAGAAATATTATGATCCCTGGTCATTGAAGCAAGTTGTTCTAGTCCAATTGCATAATCACCACTAGGAATTGGGGCTGCTACTATGGGAGCGATGACTAGACAAGTAGAACAAAAGATGACACAATATTATTAGACCAAAAAGGCAAAAAAATTTTGCATAAAGTACGATGAAGCAACAATATAGTATATACCATATCTACAAACCAACTTTTTTTATCACTTCAACAAAACAAGAAAATAGTTTAATTTCTAATTTAGAATTTCTAACTTTATGACAAAAAACAAGAGTATGTCAATAAAGGCACCATAGTTGTTGCCATTTGCCACACATGCATACTAAGATGTTTACAATTCAGCGGAAAAACTAGAGTGAGAAGGCTACAACACCAAGAAGAATTTTATAATTAAAAAGTAAATATGAATTTAGGGAAATTCTCAAGATAATAATTATGGCCATAACGAAATACCTTAGGTGAGATAATGCACTAGTGTAACGTTATTATCTATATTGACCTAAAGTCAGCCATGCCAAATTTGACCTAATATTTAACAAGCTTCCTAAGTTTTTTTTATCTATTCTTTTCCCCAAAGTATGTTCCAATAGATCTTCAATTCGATGTTTGCTTTCTTCACTTTAATATGACTCACTCATCTTCCTTTGATATCTTGACGATCAAAACTTATAATTCTTATAGACAAGCAGTTGACATAAAAAAAGGTTGCATCTTGAAGGAAGCATAAAATATAACTTGCCTCGTCTAGAAGCCTCTTACATCTTTAATGATGACCTATTAAATAAGTTTCTTACCAAAGATGATAGCCAACAATTTATCATTCGTTCCTTGAATCTCCTCAAAGATAGTTTCAAATTGCTTTCACCTTTCCACATACCCTAAGATGTTGCTCTCACAAGTAAAAAAGCTTCAAGTTTGAAACATAAGTCACCTTATCCCAACATTTCAAATAAAAGGTAACTTTTTTCAATAATGGATAGGAAAAGAAAATTGAAGGTGGAAGGCTGGTAAACTTTTTGATAAGTAATGTTTTGTTTCTAATATATGGTAGGAGTAGAACCTATCGAGAAAACACGAGGAAAGGAAGGTTAAGGTGGTTTGCTAATTTTATGTTGAAGATCCACAGAAGCCCTCAAAGAAAATCAAGCATGTTAAAGAAGACGAGACCAGAAAAACAGAGAGGAAGACCCAAGACAACACGGAAAAAAATTATTTAAGAAAGATCTAGATATGCGAGGTCTTTCTAAAGAATTAACACAAAACCGAGCAAAATGGAAGAAACAAATCCATACAGCCAACCCAACTAACTTAGAATTAAGATTTAATTGTTTTTGTTGTTTGTACACGAAAAGAAAATTGACGAGGAAGTTAGTTCAGTAATAGTTTCATCCTCCATTTAGAGATATACTTTCAACAACTCATTCAACTTCCAAATCTCTTTTTAAGAGGAAAAGAATAAGTAGCCACATAGCACGTCCACCAAAGGTGTCAAAATCCCAAATTTCCTCATGCATAGAATTATTCAATTTTGTGAGTTAATTTTCTAAACAAATTTTTCAACTCAGATTGCATAAGAACGGATAGGTGTAAGTTTACATGTCAAATTTGCAAAACCGCGATTCCAGGCAGGCCGAGCTCAAGATCTTATTCATGTTGCAAAAACTTTGGCTCAACTAGAAATTGATAAAATTTACTATACACATGGATTTCATATAATTGTACATAGACTCTTAGATCCAAACCTTTGCAACTCATTAATCAAACTAACTAACCTTGAAGTTTTCATATAGACAAATGAAATCTCCCTTATCTTACAATTTATGATCTATTCATAGCAAATTTTTTAACCTGATATATGAGTTTTAGGTTCAATGTCAAAAAACTCTCTCCTTCCTCTCTTCAACCACCCCCGGCCCCTCCTTTTATTTCTCTTTCTCTTGTCTAATTAATTCTAAATCATCGCTTTACATCATGTTTCCATTTAGGGATTGCCCTGTTAGGAAATTAGGTAGTATGTTTTTAGACCTAGTTGAAAATGTGTAACCTCTAAATTAAGCAAAAACATGAGAGAGAGGATTTGTTGGGTAACCCCAATCCTCTTCCAAATGCAAAGTATTTGAGTTTAATTATGAGCCAAAAAGATATAGAAATTAGAAATATACATTCTTAGGATCACCACCTTCATGTGATAAATGCACCATCAAACTCATTACAATTCTCAAAAGATATAAAATAATGAAATCACTTGAACAAGAAAAATACAAATTTTAGATTCAAATAACTTAAAAGGAGTTACTTTTATGCTAAAATGTACCTTTCAAGACAGTATAGCTTGATTGAGGTATTGTTACCTCCAAAGAAAAAGAAATAACACTGATAAAGCATTAATTTTAATTGCAGCCTAATTTTAGTATTAAAAGCTCTAATCTATGATTTAATTTTAGTAAGATGAAAAGATAAGAGAAAGCAAAACCCATGTTTCAAGCCTAAAGCTAATTTATGAAATAATACTTAATTTTTATTATGTCAACTAAAAGCCTGTCTCATAGTAGTAGTTCGAATTACTTTTTCAAAAAATTATCCTTTTACATGCTAGAAAAGACAATGTATAGTGTTTGTTCAGTTGTTTTGAAGTTTGTTTTATTAGTATATGAGAAGTTCACCTTAAATATAAATTTTAATGACCTCCAGTCAAGATTTCAACAAAATGCTTTTTTTTTTTTTTTAACAACAGGTCAAATAGAATAATTTTTCTTGAAACCAAACAAAAGGATCATTTTGTCAAGTATAATCAAATGTCTTGGGTAATTTAATTCATTTTTTAAAAAAGGAGATAAGTGTTGGCTTTTCCTCGTATCAGGTAATGCATCATAATAACTAAAGGCAATTATGAACATCAATTGAAAAACCATAAGAGTGTGAGATACCGATTTGTCGCTCCCCAGCTAACTTGAAAAGCAATGCCGCCTACAATGACAAATATCCATTGATTAAATATAGAATAGTCTTACATGCGTATTTGATTTTTTTTTACAAATAGCATATTTACTCTTATGACTTGGGCATGGGATCTAATCATCCGTTTCCTTTTTTCTTTCTCCTCTTCCTTTCTCAAGTCCAAGGTGTATCGAAACCGACGAGAAGCATTCAGCACAAGTGCAGCTTGCTGTGAAAGACCAATACGCAACAATTAGTCTGAACTTCTAAGACAAACATAAACTTCGGACGAGTACATTTAAATATGTGTACATATAAACTCATTAACAAACAAGTGATTAGCAGCAACCATATATTCGATTTCCCTACTGTGAGAGCCACACATATAGAAAAACAAATGGCGTAAATGATGAATGGTAGGACCTCATTTGGTAAGAAAAATTACTGTACTGTAACTCAAAGTGCAAGCTGGCATGTTTAAACTTAACATTTTTTCAAAAATCACACATTACTCATACAAACAATTAAAAAATGAAAGGAATAATCACCCTCCAGCGTCTGAGAGTTTCAACAGAAGCATTCTTGGTCTGAGCAATATCAAAAGGATTCTCGGAATCGCGGTCGTCGCAATGGGCATCTTTGAGGCCCCCGGCTTCAATGTCAGTCTCCCACTCCCGCATTGTAGACGACGACGACAACAACGACTGAGACAATTCATCACTACAACTATTACTACTATTACTCATTAATTAAACGAAAACTGAACTAAAGTAACGATGTCATTGAGAGAGATGTCACCTCCGAACCCGTACACGAAACGACGGGAAAGGCCACCTCGCTCTAAGCCAAATCAAACAGAAACGCTCACACTCGAAAATAAATATAGAAAAATAAATAAATAAATAAATAAATAGTTAATTTTTGTTATTCATAAAATAAGTAAATAAATAACCACTTCACAGTTAGTATAACAACGCAAACACGAAGGGAACAACCACTGGACAAGTAGAAACAGCTACTGCTCTGTCTGCGAGATTGGTGGTTTCTTCTGGCGGAGAGTGCGAAACGGAGGTCTAAAATTTTTATTTAAATTAATTTAAAAAAAAAAAAAAAAAAAAAAAAAAATTTAAATTAATTAAAAAAAAAAAAAAAAAAAAAAAAAAACTTACATGTTATAAAAAAAAAAAAAAAAAAAAAAAAAACTTACATGATTATAATGATGATCGCCTGATGAATCGGTGGTCAGAAAGCCAAAAAGAGAAAATCGAATGAGTGTTTGGAATATATAAATTTACGTTCATAATTTTTTTCTCAAAAAGGCTGAAGACTCTGTCTCTGTCATTGTGTTTCTTCCACGAATCAAAATTATAAAATTAAGCACTAGGAAACTTCTGCGAAGTTTCCCGCGCAATGACTTCTGTTAGGTATGTCCCAAAAATTATTGCACATTTTGTGTTGGTGAAGTCAATTCTAAACTTTTTCTTTTCTTTGTAAATTAATTATTATTAATAAAATATAATGCCGACGCTAGAGGTTAAAGAAAAACTTTCAAAAATTAAAATCGAGCAAATAACAAAAAAGAATTTACAATTTTATAAAGAAAAAACTTTAAAAAATGTTTGGTATATATCAAATTCAAAGTTAGGATAGCTAAAAAAATCTCAAAAAATTAACATCATCAAACTAAAATAAAATTTATAGTTTCATAAATTTACGCGCCTAAGACCACCAACCAGTGGCAGAGACAAAAAATTTAGTCAGGTAAGCAAATTTATTCTTAAATTTCAATAAAAAAAATTATTTGTTTATCCTGTAATTTAGAAATTGCAAGTTCTAAATATGGTAAGAATACTAAATGATAATTTAAACATAAACAAAATCATTACTTTTTTTTTGGAAGAAAAAAAATCCATTACTTATTTTTCAAATATATTGATCTACAATTTTTTTTTTTAATTTCTTTTTCCAACCTTATTTGGTAAATTTCGTACTTACATAATTTTTCATTATTGAATAATTTATATAACGACTAGCTGAAAGATAATCATTTTCACAAAATTAAAGAAAAAATTAAATTGATATGCCTAATGTGCAAATTGAAAAGGACTTTATTAATTAAAAAATTTTTGAAAGAGAGAGATAGAAGATTAAGGTTAAATTGACAAAAGAAAAATTATGGATTTTATATATTTTAAGATATTAAAATCTTGGTATGGTTAACTTTTGAAATTTGTAAAAATTTTGCTTTTAAATATTATATGAAATAAAAATTTTATTTTGTTAAATTGAGAGCCGATTTAATGATTCAATAATAAGTTGGATCTTAGAAAAGAAAGGACATTCATGAGTCATGATGGTTTGATTTTAATCCCAAAAGTGGAGCAGAGGACAAAAATAAATAACACAATTGTTTTTCATTTGAGGGCGAGCACATGCCTACACTAAGCATGGTGTAGCTCCACCCCAGGCAATAGTCTCTCACCTACCTCTTTATGTCCATAGTTACTTATAGCCAAGGCCATATCAACTCCCTCTAAGTTATTAGTTGCTCATAGACTTTGTAACTAGAATTGAATCTAAAATTTTGTGGCAATTCATATACAATTATGATTGATAATTATATCTAATGAGGTACAAATTTTACGGTGAAAACGAACATAGATTATCACCAAGATGGCTAAAAATAAAGCATAGGTTGAGGCATCATGAGGGATGTAGCTATAAACACTCTAATGCTTAAGTTACACAGAGAGCTCGAGAGGATTATAATATTATAAGAAAAATGATCATGTATCTTTGATGGAGGATGTAGGGTCCTTTATATAGTGGTCTAAAATACTCCTTTTAGGTTGCTGATTAGGATGTAATCTTCTAGATTTTTAGAAATATTAATTTTTAGTGTTTGACTAGTACTTTTGACTTTCTAGTGTAGTCGGTATCACTTACGAAGCAAGACTTGCTTGGTAGCTCATCCTGAGCTTTATTGCTTGGTAGCTCATGATGAGCTTCATTGCTTGGTAGTTTATGTTAAACTTCAATGCTTTGTAGCTTAGGTCGAAGCTCAGCTATGAATATAATAATCTAAGTGCGGACCATGCTGACCTTGAGCTTTTAGACATGTTTTCGTCGAAAATCCCCCCGAAGGACCCGAAAACATCATTTTTGTGGTTTTTGATAAAATGTTTTATTTTGATGCAGTGCCGATAAATCGGTCTTATAAACAATTTTGAGTCGCCACCCATTGTTTAGGCAATCCGTTTTTATAAAATGACTATATTTTAAACCTAATTTTGTTTTAGCCAAATTATTTGTGAGGGAAAGACGTGGTCAGCCGCACCAATGCGGATTTGGATAAGGGAATTGGGTACGTCGGCCGTTGGAAGCCGACGCCCGGGAAAACCGACCTCTATTAACCTGATATTTCTAATTTATTTTAGTTAGAAAAGCCAAATGATTGGTTTACTTAAACCCAACCCAAATAAATCGGACGAGTTGCTATTTGAAAAATTATTTAATCTTCCCAAACAAATCTAATATCAGCATTAACAATTATTCAAATTAAGGTAATTAATCAACAATCAAACCCAAATAAATAAAAAGGACGCCGCTCTTGCCTTATGGTTCAAGAGCGGGCGACAAACCGATGTCAAAATATTAAATGAAAATAAGATAAAAGACCCGCTCTTGGCCTTGATGGTTAAAGGCGGGCAAACAAACCGGATCCAAAAATTATAATAATAAATCCATAAACCAATAAAAATTCATAACAAATTTAATAAAATTCATACAAATAAATATTATATAATCAATTTAATATTTTAAGCTTAATTTAACTGTGATCTGTTATTATTTAGGCATTTCTCAGTCCTTAAAATTTATTTTTATGTAAATTTATATTTTTTTATTATTTGTTATTTCTGAAAAATTGATGAATAGCTAATCGATCATTTTCTGGGAAAAATAATGAATAGTGCATGAATAGTGTATGAACAGTGTTATGAATAGTATCGATTTCTGGAAAATTAAGAACATTTACTGTTCATCGATGAATAAACAGTTACTATTCATCGATCATTTCTGGGAAAATTGATGAATAGTTACTGTTCATTGAACAAACAGTTACTGTTCATCGATTATTTCTGGAAAAATTGATGAACAGTTACTGTTCATCGATGAACATCTACGTGATTTTTGTTCATCTAGGAACAGTTGCGTGATGCACCTGTTCTGGCCCAGAACTCATTTTTAAGTACTTTTTTACATCATTTCTTATTTAAATGTGATTTAAGGACGTATAAAATGGCCAAATATGAATAGAATACAATTTAAAGGAGCTTAAATTATTAAAACCACAAAAAAAATGTTAAGAAAATTACCTGAACCTCAGATTGAGGATTGTAAATGGATCAAATGTCCAGAAGCTTTGTTTCCAAGGATTGATGTGTTCTTTTTATTTTTAAATTTTTCTTTTTATGGTTAAAATCACCTAAAATTAATATCTAATGCCAAATTCTCTTCAAATTAACTCATAAGAATTTTTTGAAGAGAAATGTTGGCAGCACAATGTATTTTTTAGGGTTTTTGGAGTTGTGAAGTTGTAGATTGTGAGGTTGTGAAGAGTGAAGAAGTGTAGAGAAAGAGATGAATTTATAGAGCTAGGTTTATAGAGCTAGGGTTACGTCAAGGACATGTAGCGTACACTGTGAAGCACGCGTGCTACTGTAGCACAGCTAACTGTAAGCACGCAACTCTTCTCTTCTCTTAGTTATTTATTTTATTTATTATATTTATTTTTTATTTTTAATATTATTATCATTTTTTTATCCTTGGATTAAAAGGCTTCTAGATAGCATTAACCCTTTCATCCTCCTTGTGTCTTCCAATCGGGGATTAAAAGGCTTCTAGATAGCATTAACCCATTCATCCTCCTTGTGTCTTCATCGGATCAGGCGGGGCATAAAAAACACGCGTCAAAAAGACATGATTGGCAACATATGCCTCCCATAAGTATTGAATCATTAGGTTCGATTTCTTAAATTGATGTTCGTGATCTATAGTATTGTTGCTAAATTAAAATCAATTTCATCTTGGCTGAGTTTTGCATGTTGAGTTATGACACTCCTTATGCTTTTACTACTAAGCTAAAATTGTCTATGATAATTTTACTTTTACTGGTCTTAAGTCAGGTATCGTCTTTTCGATTATTTTAGCAAAATATGGAGTCACCTAATAAATAGCTAAGCCAACCAATATTCCAAAATGAGCTAAAAATGTTGATTAAAACTGAGCTAAGCTTGAAAAAAAAAATTATTCTGCAGACTAACTTAAGTGAACTCTATTTTTATTAGCATTTTCTCCTCATACGAGTACAAGCGTTTAGGTTCATTAGCGACTTAACTCTGTTATATCCCCATTAAAGTGTTGTTTTACTAAGAAAACACGTGAACATGTGTGTCTCAAGGTGTAATTTAATGATGACTTCTTAAATTTTCTCTACCTTTTGAAGTTTAAATTATTTGACTCCTATCAAATTTGTTCTTCATTGTCTATAAACTTTTAGAGCTCCACTTTATTCTTTCTTCTTTGTCGATTTTGAAAATTCAAAAGTCATGATAAGAAACAATATCTATTTGTCCTGCTTTGTTGTCTTTTTAAAGCTTGTCATTACAAGTTACACCTTATTAAATATGGTTCTTTTTTTAAAGTTCTTATCTTTTCTATTTTTCACATTTTTTGCATTCAAAGCTTCTATGATTGTTTGCTCACCTTGGTACTCCAAAATTAGCTAGAAGTGATACCTTTGGTAATAGATATGTGCTGACTTTAGATGAAATTCGTGTGATTGCTGAGAAGTATAGATTCCTTAATTATTTTGCTTATTGACCTTCGACAAATAGGACAATATCACCAAATAGGACTTAGATGTTACTTTGACACTTTTTATTATTGTGTTGAAGATGTATAAAGTTAGTATTGCTGTAATTCATCCCATTTCATGGAGGATACATTTAGTGTAACACCTGTCGCCCGATTCCAGAGGTTTAGATGGCGAATGCCACATTCAATGCCGAAGTCACCATTGTCGTTAGCAGATCAAACCTAAAACTAATATATGAATTAAGAGTGATTAAATATTCACAAGTCTAGTAAGTCCTAATTTTTAACTTAGAAAATATTTTGGGAAAATTCTATAGAAAAACTACAAGAGTTTCCCCTAAAAATTAAACTTAACTAAAACATATGAATGCAAAACACTTCTAATTCAAAATCTCAAACATCCAACAAACTCCTATAATCAAACTCAACTCAATATCCACTTCTACACATACATAATCATTCATTTCTCATTATCACCATTATAACATCAATACTCAATATATCCATAAACATAAAAATCTCATAGATTCAAACCATTTGAAAAT